CTGTTTTACTTATTCCTTTCCTATTTGGATACTTTATATATCTTTGTTTTGCCTGGTTGCTCTAGCTAGGACTTGCATGGGCTATTTTGAATAAGAGTGGTAAGGTGAGCATACTTGTCTTGTTCCTGATCTTAGAGGAAAAATTTTCAATTTTTCCGACTATAGTGTTAGCTGTGGTTCTGTTGTATTTTGCCTTTAATATCATTAGATATGTTCTTTTGCCTCTCTTTTCATAGGATCTGTAGTTTTCCATCCATCCCTGTAGCATCATTATCTAGCTTTGGCATCAGGATAATGCTGGGTTCATAAAATGAGTTTAGAAGTGTTCCCTCCTCTTCTAGTTCTTAGAAAAAAATTGAAAAGTAATGGCATTAATTCGTTTTTAAATATTTGACAGAATTGCCCAATTAAGTAAGACATCTATCTGGTCATGGGGTTTCAGTTGTCAGGAAGTTTTTGATAATGATTCAATCTCCTCACATGTTACTGTTCAGACATTCCTATTTCTGTGTCTCTAGGAAATTATCCATTTCTTTGAGGTCATATAATTATTCATAGTAGTCTCTTATCCTATTTATTTTGGTAGTGTCTGTTGTAATTTCTTTTTATTTGAGTCTTCTGTCTCATATTCTCAGTCTTGCTTAAGAGTAGTAAATTTTGTTATCGTTCAAAAAAACCAGGATCTTAGTTTCATTGATCTTTTCTATTGCTTTTCTGGTTTCCATTTACTTTTGCTCTGATCTTTATTATTTCCTTCCTTAAGCTAACTCTGGGCTTAGTTTGTTCTCTTTCTAGTTCCTTGAGGTGTAAAGTTAAGGCTGTTTATTTACGATCTTTCTCATTTCTTAATATGTGCATTCATCACTATAAACTTCTGTCTCAACTAGTTTTGCAGCATTCCATTGGTTTTGGTATGTTGTGTTTCCATTTTCATTTGAGATATTCTTTGATTTCCTTTTTTTTTTAAATTGAGTATAATTGACATGTAGCATTATATTAGTTTCCAGTGTACAATGTAAAGATTTTATATTTATATATATTGTGGAATGATCACCACAATTAGTTAACATCCGCCACCATACATAATTATAAAGTTTTCTTGTGATAAAATCTTTTAAGATCTGCTCTCTTAGCAAGTTTCAGATGTGCAGTGAAGTATTAGGAACTGTAGTCACCATGCTATACATTACATCCCCATGACTGACATTTTTTATAACTGGAAATCAGTACATTTTAAACACCTTTGCCCACATCCCTCAACCTCCCGCCCTTTGCTTTGTGAGCTTGGTTTGTTCCACATTTAAGTGAGATCAAACAGCATTTCTTTCTCTGACTTATTTTACTTAGCATAATTACCTCAAGGTTTACCCATGTTGTCACAAATGGCAAAATTTTATTCTTCATTATTATGACTGAATAAAATTCCATTGTGTGTGTGTGTGTGTGTGTGTGTTTATACACATACATACTGCTACTTCTTTACCCATTCATCCTTCACTAGACATATAGGTTGTTCTGTTGTCTTGGCTATTGGCAATAATGCAGACTAGTAATATTTTGTTGATGATTTTTGCATCTGTGTTCATCATGGATGTTGGCCTGTAATTTTCTTTTCTTGTGGCATCCTTGTCTGGTTTGGGTATCAGGGTAATGCTAACCTTGTAAAATTAGTTTGCTAATTTTTACAAGAGAGTTTGCTTCTCTTCTGTATTTTGGAAGAGTAGAGATTGCTATAAATTCTTTGAATATTTGGTAGAATTCGCCAACAAAGCATTCTGTCCCTGAACTTTTGTTTATTGGAAGTTTTTGATTACTGACTCAATCTCCTTACCAATAATTGGTTTGTTCAGATTTTCTTTCTTCATGATGAAGTCTCAGAAGGTTGTATGTTTCTAGAAACTTATCCATTTTTCTAGGTTGTTCAATTTGTTGGCATATAATTGTTCATTGTAGTTTTTATGATCCTTTGTATTTCTGTGGTTTATTTGTAACATCTCTTTCATTTCTGTTTTTTTTGAGTTTTCTTTGTGAGTCTAAAGGTTTGTCAATTTTGTTTAAATTTTCAAAGAAACAGCTCTTGTTTTCTTCTTTTCTATTGTCATTTCAGTCTCTATTCCCTATATAAAACTCCAAACTTTGTTATATATATTTTCACATATAGCTCCAAACTCTTTGGGTTTTTGTTTTGCTTTGTTTTCTAGTTCCTTAACGTGTAAAGTTAGGTTGTTCGTTTGAGATTTTTTTCTTATTTCTGAAGGTAGGCATGTATTGCTATGAACTCCCCTCTTAAGTTTTTGTATTTTTTATGTTCAGTTAGCCACTGTATAGTATACATTATTAGTTTTTGATGTAGTAGTGTTCAATGATTCATTAGTTGTGTATAAAACACCCAGTGCTCACCACAACACGTGCCTTCTTTAATACCCACCACCCTGTTATCCCATCCCCCTACCCCCGTCCCCTCTGAAACCCTCAGTTTGTTTCCTGGGGTCCATAGTCTCTCATGGTTCATCTCCCTCTCTGATTTCTCCCCCTTCAGATTTCCCTCCCTTCCCCTATGGTCCTCCATACTATTGCTTATGTTCCACATATGAGTGAAACCATATGATAATTGTCTTTCTCGACTTGACTTACTTCACTTAGCATAATCCCCTCCACTTGCATCCATGTTGATGCAAATGGTGGGTATTCATCCTTTCTGATGGCTGAGTAATATTCCATTGTATATACATACCACATCTTCTTTATCCATTCATCTGTTGAAGGGCCTCTCAGTTCTTTCCACAGTTTGGCTATTGTGGACATTGCTGCTATGAACATTGGGGTGCATGTGCCCCTTCTTTTCACTACATCTGTGTCTTTGGGGTAATTACCTAGTAGTGCACTTGCTGGGTCATAGGGTAGCTCTATTTTTAACTTTTTGAGGAACCTCCATACTGTTTTCCAGAGTGGCTGTACCAGCTTGCATTCCCACCAACAGTGTAAGAGGGTTCCCCTTTCTCCACATCCTCGCCAACATTTGTTGTTTCCTGTTTTGTTAATTTTTACCATTCTAACTGTTGTAAGGTGGTATCTCAGTGTGGTTTTGATTTGTATTTCCCTGATGGCTAGTGATGTTGAGCATTTTTTCATGTGTCTGTTAGCCATTTGTATGTGTTCTTTGGAGGAGTGTCCATGTCTTATGCCCATTTTTTGACTGGGTTATTTGAGTTTGAGAAGTTCTTTATAGATCTTGGATATCAGCCCTTTCTCTGTAATGTCATTTGCAGATATCTTCTCCCATTCCGTGGGTTGCCTCTTATTTTTGTTGACTGTTTCCTTTGCTGTACAGAAGCTTTTTATCTTGATGAAGTCCCAAAAGTTCATTTTTGCTTTGTTTCCCTTGCCTTTGGAGACGTGTCTTAAAAGAAGTTGCTGTGACCAAGGAATTTTTAAATTTCTCTTTTAATTTCTTCTTTGATATATTAGTTGTTCAGTACCATGTTGTTTAATCTCCACATGTTTGTGAATTTCCCAGTTTTCTTATAATTGTTTTCTGGTTTCATCAAGCATCTTTTCTGACCACATGGTGTATGATTTCAATCTTAATATATTTGTTAAGACTCGTTTTGTGGCCTAACATATGACCTATCCTGGAGGATGGGTGAATGACGATGCACTTTAAGAAGGTGCAGTCTGTTGCTTTGATTGAAATTTTCTGTAAATATCTGTTAAGTTCATCTGTTCTGACATGTTAAGGCCTATAATTTCTTTTACTCTGAATAATTTATCCATTGACTTAAGTGGGTATTTAAGTCCTCTACAATTATCGTATTGCTTTTTCTCCCTTTGGGTGTTTTAACATTTGCTTTATATATTTAGGTGCTCCTATGCTGAGTGCATAAATATTTATAAATGCTACATCTTCTTATTGGATTGACCCCTTTATCAGTATGTAATCCCCTTTTTTATCTCTTATGATAGTCTTTGTTTTGAAAGCCTATTTTGTGGGATATACATATAGCTACTCCTGCTTTCTTTTGGTTTCTTTTTGCATGAAATACCTTTTTCCATCCCTTCACTTTCTGACTACATGTTCTTATATCTGATACTCTTGTAGGTACCATATAGATGGGTCTTGTTTTTATTTATTTTTAATCCATTGTTTATTGATTGTTGATTAGAGAATTTAGTCCATTTACATTTAAAGTAATTTGATAGTTTGTACATCTTGTTGTTTTGTTGTTTTCTGGCTGTTTTTGGGTTCCTCTGTTCTTTTGTCTTCTTTTGCTCTCTTCCTTTGTGGTTTGATGGCTTTCTAGTGGTGTGCCTAGATTCCTTTCTCATTATTTTGTGTGTGCACGTATCTGCTGTAGGTTTTTGCTTTGTGATTACCATGAGGTTTACATATAACAAGTTATATTTGTAACAGTTTTAAATTGATAAGTTTGAGTGCATTCCAAACTCTACAGTTTTACTCCCCTCACACCTCTTTTATGTTTGTGGTGTCACATTTTACATCATTTTATTGTGTGTATACTTTATTTGTAGTTTCTGCTGTTTTTATTTTTTAAGCTTCATGCTAGCTTTGTGATTAATTCACTACCCTCACTATATATTTACCTTTACCAGTAAAATTTGTACTTTCACAAGTTGTGAAATACTTAGTGCCCTTTCTTTTCTACTTAAAACAGTCCCTTTAACGTTTCTTGTAAGGCGGGTTTGTGGTGGTGATCTCCTTTGGCTTTTGTTTGTGTGGAAAACTCTTTTATCTCTTCTGAATTCTGAATGATAACTTTGCCAGGTGCAGTGTTCTTGGTTGTGACACTTTCTTCTGGTCTGCTTAGTTTTTGCTGAAAAATTTGCTATTAGTCTTATGGAGGTTCCCTTATATGGTAACAAGTGTTTTTCTCTTACTGTTTTTAAGAATCTTTCCTTGTCCTTAACTTTTGACATTTTAATTACATTTTAAGACATTTAATAATCTCTAACTGCGAGTCTTTCTGGGTTCATCTTTTTAGGAATTCTCTGAGCTTCTTGGATCTGGAGGTGTTTTCCTTCCTCAGGTTAGGGAAATTTTCAGTTATTATTTCTTCAGATAAGTTTTCTGCCCCCTTCTCTCTCTCCCCTCCTCCTGGGACCTCTATCATGCAATTGTTAGTTTGCTTGATGTTATCGTATAAATCCCTTAATCTAGCTTCACTGTTTTTCCATTTTTTTTTTTTGCTGCTTTGATTGGTGAGTTCCTATGACTTGTGTTTGAGCCTCTCTTCTGCTTCATGCTATCAAACCCATCTGGTGTATTTTCCAGTTCAGCTATTTTATTCTCTAGCACTGACTTCCGTTTGGTACTTTGTTATATTTCCTATTCCTTTGTTGAAGTTCTCACTTTTTAAATCCATTCTTCAGAGTTTTGTGGGCATAATTGTGATCATTAATTTCAACTCTTTATCAGGTGTTACTATCTCTATCACTTGATTCTGTGTTGGTTTCTACACATTAGATGAAACAACTACCTCTCCCAGTCTTGAATGGCTAGCCTTGTGCAGGAGATGAACCTTAACATTCAACCCTGCCCTAGCTTTTGGTTGTCTCTCAATCCTTTGTGTTTGTCCAAGCGTCCTATATTATTTCTAACAGATCCCTGTAGTTGGGGTGTTCCAATAACTAGTTAGTTACCCAAAGCAGGGGAGGGCTTCATTCAGTATGTAGACTCAGGCTGATTAGAAGCCAGACCCTTAAGGCAGTAGCTTTTAAAGAATGCAGATATGTTTGTGGTCCCACTGGACTATATATAAGATGCACTGGCCATCAGAGCCAGGTGATCGGGAGGTGTTGTCTGAGTGGCAGTTGTGAAAACTGGGGCTTCAGGCAAGTTTATAAGCTCCTTTCTGGGAGATTCCACAAGCTGTAGTGAGGCAGACAGAAGGCACAAAGATAGCATCCCCTGGCCTATGTTCCCTGAGAGCACTTCGGTAGGCTCTAGCTGGGTGCCAAACCTGAAGCCTGCCCCTAAGGCTGAAGCTCCAGGACAAGCAACTCAGCCTTTTTGACAGAATGGGGCTGTGTTTCAATCTGCTGTCTGGGTGGTGCCCCACCAAGGACTATCTGATTATTATAGTTCTGGGGGACTCAGGAACTCAGACTCTGATGCTACGAGAGCCAGGCAATCAGGGGTTATCCTTTGGGTTGCAGCAGAGGGAGCACGAGAGATAGTACCTGCCCTCTGAGGACTCAGGAAAGGTTTACAGCAGCCCTTAAATGTGGGTGGTTGGTGGTGGTTTTTCGTTTTGTTTTGTTTTTAGATTTTGTCAGAGCACAAGCAGGTGGAGTGGCAGGCAGAGGAAGAAGCAGTTTGGTAGTGTTAGTCTTCCAAACTGCCTCTTTGATTGTTACAGCCCTGTGGGACCCAGGAACCCCCCATTCTCTAGAGCCAGGTGATCAAGGGGTGTTTTCTGAGTTGCAGCCACAAAAACTGGATTACCAGGCATGGATAAAAGCTCTCCTCCAGGAGATCCTGGTGCTCTATAGCATAACTGAGAGAGATTAATAAGATGGCACTCACCAGCCTTCTCCCCAGAGAGTCCTCCTTAGGCCTCTGCCCCTCAGACCAATGTTTTCACATTAGCAAATGAGTCTGTTTCACATAAAGTCTGGTCACCTGCAAAGGACTGCTTCCATGCTGGGCCTTGGGGCAGGTGAATCTGCACATGAGCCTTTTAAGAGCCATTTTTCAGTTTACCATAGCCCCATCAATCTGGTAGGTGTAAACCCTGGAGGTCTTCAAAGCCAGATGTTTTGGAGTCTCATCTCTCAGGTGCCAGTCTTAAACGTTAGGATGCCCAATGTGGGATCAAGCACTTTGCTTCTCAGGGAGAGGCTCCCAACTTTTGAATCCCCATCCGATTATGGGTCCGTGGTGGGGGTTTATGGTGAGATTGTGTCTCGGCCTTTCCTACCCACTTTGATGTGGTTTTCCCCTTGTTTACCAGATGTGAAGAGCTCACTCTGCCAAGTTTTAGGGTTTTTTTCAGAGGAAATTGTTCCATAGATAGCTATAGATTCAGTGTGTCCGTGTAAGGTGAGTTGTAGGTTCCTACGTCACTATCTTGAATTGGTCTTGAATTGGAGCTGTTTTTTTTTTTTTTTCTTTTCCTAGTAGAGTTATATTTATTTCAACAAAATTATAAAGTAAAACTACAAAGAAAAATATTTGACACAGAGACACATTTTGTAAAGAGAAAAGTTAGCAGTAATCGGTGTAAGTATAATAAATTATATCTGTTGATATTTTGGGGGAAAGTATTACCAGAAGAAACACTAAAATACAGCATTGTTGCCATAGCATGTGAAAACATTCCCAGAGAAAATTAGTGATTTTCACTTGAACACTTAATTTTTCAGCCCTCTTTGAATTTATATTCTGAAATTTGATGTTCTATTGCAGTTTCCACTTGCATGGATTATCTTTCCCATCTCCTTCTCCCTCTCTTCTGAAATCCTGATTATTCTGATATTTGTCTTTTTTTTTTTTTTAAAAGGTTTTATTTATTTATTTGACAGAGAGAGAGAGATAGTGAGAGCAGGAATACAAGCAGGGGGAGTGGGAGAGGGAGAAGCAGGCTTCCCACCGAGCAGGGAGCCCAATGTGGGACTCGATCCCAGGACCCTGGGATCATGACCTGAGCCGAAGGCAGATGCCTAACGACTGAGCCACCCAGGTGCCCCTGATATTTGTCTTTTTTATAATCACCACTCATTTAGGCTTTCTATACTTTAAGTTCCCTCTTCCGTGTTATTTCAAAATTCTTATCCTCCATGCAATTATTCTTTCTTTCATGTGGTCTGTATATGCTCTCTGTTACATTCTGGATCTAATTTACTGAATTTTTGCTCCAGAATTTGGAAAGAACTCATTTTGTATTTTTAATTCCTGATTTGATTGAATTCTTTCAGAATTTCCTTGTAACTTGTTGAGTTTCCTCATTACAGCTATTTGAAATTCTTATCTGCTTTCCCAATTTCCTCCCAATCCCCGGTTATAGATCTCCCACCTTAGTACTCCAGGTGCTGAGGGAGAGAATGGCTTTCTCTGGTTGCCATAATTAGGCACTCACTGCTTTCCTTTTCCCCTGCAGGAGAGGTCACTGCCACCAGATAAATTAGCACCCTTTAGTGTTTCATTGGGCAGAGGGGTGGTGCCAGGAAAGTTTCTCTTACAATCTCTCAGGTGGCCCTTTACAATGGTGTGCTAGCGTCTGCCTTAGGGAAGACTCTCTGACGCTATTCCAGTCTGTACTCACCCAGTTTTTGTCCCGTAGGGGCAAGAATGGTCTAGGCAGTTTGGCTCACTCCTCCGGTGGGTGACGCTCCTCCCAGGTTCCTTGGAGTAAGGTGATGGGTCTAAAAACACCCATGAGTGTGCTTTTGTTCATGTATGAATAATCCTTTGATTTTTGACGTGGATAAATAGGAACATTTTATGGCAGTGTGTTGCTGACCTCTCTCTCCAGGATCATCAGATGTACAGTTTAGAAAGTTTACTTTGGCTGCAGGGTGGAGAAGAGCTGGAAAGGTCAAAAGTGTAGCAGTATGAAATGAGGGGACATTTATGACTCTAATCTGAAGCTAACGTTTGATTTTATATATAGTATTCTTTCATTTATCAGGTTACTTTAATATTGGTCTAATAGGTTTTTCCCAATTTAACTAGATTACATCATTAATTAAACCTACAAAGTAATTTTATTATAATTAAGAAGTTTGAAATATAGGAGGGGAAAATGAAATATTGTATATTTATCAATGGCTTTTTTTGATCTGTACTTTACAAAAGAAGGAAAGGATGACATTTATATTTTGACATAGGCTATTTGCTTAAACAAGGTACCCTTTATATATAAAATGGAAGCTTAGAAAATACAACATTCCATCTAAAGGGAGAATTAGCCAAGGTAACATTATACAGGAACATGAAAATACCTATACCCTTGCCATTCTGCTTTCACTTGAAGTTAAAAAGTAAATACTAGGGGTGCCTGGGTGGCTCAGTCGTTAAGCGTCTGCCTTCGGCTCGGGTCATGATCCCAGGGTCCTCGGATCGAGCCCCACATCGGGCTCCCCACTCTGCGAGAGGCCTGCTTCTCCCTCTGTTTCCTCTCTCACTGTGTCTCTCTCTGTCAAATAAATAAAGTCTTTAAAAAAAAAAAAAGTAAATACTAGAGCTACTGAAAACTATGACTGTCCTAGCAGTACTTAAATATACAGAATTGAATTTGACCTTATTTTGTTACTGATAAAACTTCCTTTTTAATAAAATGAGATTTCAATAATATACAAAGTAGGGAATATTTTCACTAAATGCTGTCTGACTTTAAAATTCTGTGACTAGTAAAATCCATTTTATTATTTTTCATAGTACTCATATTTGTTATTTATTCATTTTACTTTAATTGGGTAATTGAAAACAAAAGCATTTTAAAGATGGATTTATTTTAGAGAGGGAGGGGCACAGGGAGAGTGAGAGAGAATCCCAAGCAGACTGTGCTGAGCAGCAGCCCAGGCAGGCTTGATGCCACCACCCTGAGATCATGACCTGAGCCGAAACCAGGAGTGGGATGCTCAGTCAACTGTCCCACCCAGGTGGCCCCAAAACAAAGGCATTTTATATTGCAGTAGCATAGAAGTTTCTAATTCCATACCTGCTTCATAGAGACTAAACCCTAAGATTAGAATAACATCAAGATGTTTATTAGATGGTCATAAAGATGTTTAATGGCTACTGGTAAGTCAAAGTTAGTAATAAAAGTGCAAAATCTCCTATTTGATTTACAGATCTAAGTGACAATCTACACTACTAGTTTGAAGTATCATACAAAATGGTTTTACTAGCCATAATCAGTTTTTGATTTATATATAAGCTGAAAATGAATCTTCTGTGCACAGTATTTAAAAAAAATACTTTTGGTTACTGCTTTCTACAGTTATGGTAGAGATCTATAAACCATATCAATAAGAAGCCTTCATGGTACTAGTGGGTATTATTTTTCCAGTAATTTTGTGATAAATTCTTTGAGTACTCTTACACATTAAATGTAGATTATTTTGTGAAATGGTGTTTTAATGATAGAGGACTTTGCTATTGGGGAGCCTGGGTAGCTCAGTTAAGCTTTTGACTCTCGATTTCTGCTCAGGTCATGATCTCAGGGTGGTGGGATCCAGCCCCTAGGCAGTCTCCTCACTAGGTGAGGAGTCTGTTTGAGATTCTCTCCCTCTGCCCCTCCCCACACTGGTATGTGCCTGCTCTCTCTCAAATAAATAAAATCTTTAAAAAAAAAAGATTTATTTATTTGAGAGAGAGAGAGAGAGCATGAGGGGGGGAGGGTCAGAGGGAGAAGCAGACTCCCTGCGGAGCAGGGAGCCTGACGTGGGACTCGATCCCGGGACTCCAGGATCATGACCTGAGCCGAAGGCAGTCGCTTAACCAACTGAGCCACCCAGGTGCCCTCAAATAAATAAATCTTAAAAAAAAAAAAAAAAATTTTGCTGTTGGTCACACTTGGGAAAAGAATCCAGATTTTTCTGGACCATGTTCTTTTTAAAGAAACATGTCTGGTTGTAGAATATATCCCTATTTTTTCTTTATAAGAAATAAACATATAGGAAGAAGTACTGCATAGTGGTTGAACATTTGAGTTCTGAATTCTGATTGCTTATTTTGCCTCCAACAGTCTGCCTCACTTAGTAACTACCTTAAGGGAGTTGTGAGAACGGAGGTAAAAAGTATAAACAGTTGAGCATATTATTTCACAGTAACAACATTAACTAGGAGCTTTCTCTGCTAGAACTCGCTGTTAATTTAGGATGAATAGTTCTTGAACATAAATATTATTAAGATTAAATTATTAAAAATATGAAATACACTTTCATTTTTACATAATTTTTTCTCTAATCTTTTTTTGTTTTAGGTCACTTTTCACATCGAACCATATAGCAATCGAGATGATCAAAACATGTACAAAAATGTCAAATATATTATAGACAAGTGAGTTTCTTGTTTATAATTACTGTTTTACGACCCAGTTGTTTTAAGAAGAATACATTTAAATTATATTTGAGATTTGAATGACTTATTGTCTGAGATAAAATTTTGTAATGAATAATCATTTTGAGGAACATTTCTGAAATTCCTTATGATTCATAAGCTATTTATGATTTGTTGGCTGACATTTTAAATTGATATTCTATAAATCACGAATACAGAGTTTTGTCTTTTTAAATTATGAAATGTGAACTGCTTTTATATCTGTGGATCCACATCTAATATTTTCATTTATATATAAATTTTGTTCAAGGATTTTACTGATAAGAACCTGTGACAGATACTGTACTCTTAAAAAGAAACTTGTCAGCAACAGTGAGACATTATTCATATAGAAAACAGGCTTTTTATGGTGTTGGTCATCATTTGTAAACCTCAGTATGTCTTGATGTATCCAGTATCTCAATTTTCCTATCTGCAAAATTGAAAATGCATTTTTAATGATTACCCTTAAAATGAAAGTGAACAATGTGCTTAAACTGCACTGATTACTTTCATTTTCAGTATAGAAACGGTTATTGTCTGTGGAAAATGAGTTACAGATATTCACTTCTATGTATTTTTGTATTCTAGATATGGAAATCATCCGGCCTTTTATAGGTACAAGACTAAGACCGGCACTGCTCTTCCTATGTTTTATATCTATGATTCCTATATCACAAAGCCTGAAAAATGGGCCAATTTGTTAACCACCACAGGGTCTCAGAGCATCCGCAATTCTCCTTATGATGCACTGTTTATTGCACTTCTAGTAGAAAGCAAACATAGATATGATATTCTACAAGCTGGTTTTGATGGAATTTACACATATTTTGCCACAAATGGCTTTACTTATGGCTCATCATATGAGAATTGGGCAAGGATAAAATCTTTTTGTGACCAGTTCAACCTACTGTTTATCCCAAGTGTGGGCCCGGGATATATAGATACCAGCATCCGCCCATGGAATGCTCAAAACACTCGAAACCGAATCAGCGGGAAGTACTATGAAACTGCTCTGGGTGCTGCACTCCATGCCCACCCCAGTGTGATTTCTATCACCTCTTTCAATGAGTGGCATGAAGGAACTCAGATTGAAAAAGCTATTCCCAAAAGAACCAGTAGTACAGTGTACCTGGATTACCGGCCTCATAAACCAAGTCTTTATCTAGAACTAACTCGCAGGTGGTCTGAAAAATACAGTAAGGAAAGAGCAACTTATGCATTAGATCAGAAGCTGCCTGTTTCTTAATGCATTAATGATTATAGAAATCACCTAATTTTAGTAAGTACCTTTTAAGTATATACCAGTTGGTAGTTATCCCCATAATAAAAAGAATTTGTATTTTTAAAAAAAATGGTAATATCATCATTGCCACCCTTCACAATGCTGCACTGAAAAAATATCAGAGATTATGCAAATTACATTCCCTGTGGCATAATATGCTGAATTTCTGACTGAAGTTCTACTTTGCTACTAATTTTTATTTCACCCAAAAATGTTTGTGTTACTTAAATCCTTCTTGTATTCTGGGCTCAAAGAAATAGATTGTGTATATTTAATATGTCAAATGAAGAAAATAAGACCTAGAAGATAGTGTACATGTTTCATTTAGATTTTTTTCCAATAATTCAGTCATCCAGAGTCTGTTCACTAATAAAGTCTCCAATAAAAATTCTTAAGGAAAATGAAATCATAACTTAAGCCTTACTGTGAATCACATTGTGTTAGGAAGGCCTGCTTTCTACAGCACAATTTTGATTACTTATAGCATGCTAGGTGTTTTGCATGTCTAATGTATCTGCTTTACAGTGCTGAATTCCAGATACTAGAAGCTGTGGAAAGTTCTTTCATGCTTCTCTATTAAGAAAACATAGTTGGTTCACAATTATGAAGATAGAATGCCCAAAATATCAGTTTTTGGATAACCTGTCAATTTTTAACTTGTTAATCAGAGACCAACTGTTAGTATCAACCTTTTTCTTCCGTACCTATCATTGGATTTCCTTAATATTTTAAGCTATTTTTACCAAAATAAATAGAGAAAATTTACTTAGCATTTTAGGAACATGGAAACGAAAATTCTTTTATATCTTAAACTTACAAGTCAAACTTCAGGAATGAATTTAACACAATGATGGCAATAATCTCGTTTAAAAGGCAATATATCCCCATGTAAAAACATTATACTTTCATGGTATCTATCAGATTCAATACTTGTGATCAGTTGTCATATTGTGACAAATTAATCCACCTCTATGCTAAAAATAAATCTCTTTAATAGAGTATATGTTATCCTTCAGTTCTTATAGTTAACTAGAACTATAAAATATATATATGCTATTACAAGAGTATTATTTCTTAAATATTTAATTTACTAAAGAGAAGCAATATTAAACAATAATACATATAAATCTTCAGGTCTTAGAGATATTCATTCAGAAATAAAGCAACCGTAGAATTTATCATAACATAGCCCATCAGGTGATGAAATTTATTTTAGCCAGTGATTTTGAAGTAAAAATCTTTTCTTTGAAAAGAGGCATGATTAATGTTAAACTTATTTATAACTTAAGAATTTGCCATTTCTCAGAGAATGATCAGGCCTTGAGAAATTAGAACAATAGTAGTAAACTACTTTCTAGAGGAAGTTATGAGACTAAATCACTATAATGATATAACCAAGCCTCTTCATAGGAACATTCATACAGATATAACCTGTGGATTTTTTTTTTCTTATATCCATTTGGCCACTCTATGTTATCATAGGCATGACACATTTAGAGTTTATTCCTAATAATCACTTTTACCATATTTTATTAAATTTGGAGAAATTACTACTACAGAGGAGTTCTTATAATTGCTTATACTGTATATTTGAACCTACCGTGACAGAAAATTTTATGAAATAGTTCTGAGATTAAGAGAATAAAAACAAGGTCAACAAATACTCAATGCGAATACTACCACTTTCTATCTTGCTCCCACTGCAGACATAGATAATCTACTACAGCACTCTTTACCTCTGAATTTTGTTGTGGTTCCTAACACATTACTCCAACCAGCCAGTAATGATCAGATTTCAAAGTAAGATAAAACAAATTTGTTCTCAAGGGAAGAATGTTTGTTTGGAATCTGAACTCATAATGGTTTAAGAATTTATAATTATATGAAAATCTGTGTCTTTTTGCCTGTTTTAAAAACTAGGAGGAATTATCTCTAATTTCATAAATCTTCCTCAGGTATTCATTACAGCTGCCTTTATCATTTGACTTTTTAGATCATTATCACAAGTAAAAGCAAAGAACTGATTGCCTAATTTAAACTATCTAGGTGTGAATTCAATAAGCTAAAATAACTGTTAGTGTAGTATATGCAGTGTATGAATCACAATTGTTTTATGGTTTAATCAGTCTGTTTTGTCTGTATAGAAAATCTTTGTTTTATTGTTCCTCTTAAGGACTAATATTGTCAGAAACTGTTGTTATTAATGTTTAAGTTGTACGTTAACTATTTTCTGTTTTAAAAGTAAAAGACTATTTTGTTATATGGAGTATTTAACTTTCATTTAATAAAAGCATACATGAAATAGTGTATCTTAGGTATAAAAATGTGTCCCTTTCTATTTATGAAATATTTGAGATATGTAGCACTTACAAAGTCTGTATCTTTAACTCTATATACATTTTTAAATCTGTGAATTTGTTAAACACACACAAAAAAACAAAGGTTTTTGGGGGTGTGGGGGCAGAGATGTTTTATTTTTTTATTCTTTGGGCATAATCATACGTTAGCTCTAACTCCTTTGGGAGATCTTACCCTAACAAGCCACCAGAGAATCTACCAAATTTATAACCATCACTTTTTCAAACTGATCAGTTAAACATGATGACTGTTCCTGAACTCTGTAGTGCCTACAGAAATAGCTCTTGAAAGTCTGTATCTAAATTTTGAATTAAGGTCGAACACCCTTATGTCCCATAGTATAGAAGCAATACTATTTATGACCAGAAAAATTCCAGTTATTTTTATAAATATCTGTAATTTCAAAATGGAAAATAGACCTAGCCACAAGCAAAAAAGTTTTTTAGCTCAGATAAAATTTTATGCTGACTTTGTTATATATCCACATAAAGTCTAAATGTTATTGTATGCTTCCTATTAGATTATTATTCTTGAGAATTCAAGTGCTACATTGGCTTAATTACTTTACAGAGACTCACTGTAGTCCAAAGAACCTAGCAGTAGTGCTATTATATTTCATCAATGAAGAGAGGAACATTTTTCAATGTGGTTAGTTTCTGTTGTTACATAAGTTATGATATCAAAAGAAAAAATAACTAGTAAGTAAATGGTCACACATCTAAAATTTAGTGAAGTTAAAACATAGTAGCACTATTTTGGATGTTCTAGACTTCATTTAAAAGCATCTTAAAGTTTCTCAATTTATATTAAAAATTAGCCATAAATTTAATCATAAAGTTAAAGAGCCTTTCAGAAACTACCCCATGAAATAAGTACTTCATGACAGAAAGCAATGCTGTACTATGGTTAGATAATTCTATATATAATTTAACCTATGGTATATGATTGTATCTTCATGCTTTGTTTTTGACTTTTTGAAAGAATTGGTTAATCTGAGCAAAGATTATAAATAACATGAAATAAAGTGACTCTTTAGCTATTCAATTACATTTAAAATATATTAATTATAATTATGTTAATGCATAAAAGTGTGAGTCAGTTTTTAAAAAGCCATTATGAAAACACAATTTGATAATAATGTCTAATGTAATGTGATCTTTACCCTGATTTTGAAACTATCAGATACAAAAGAGAAAAATACCTAGAAGAAATTCAATTGCAATAAATGCAGTAAGGTTTAGAAATTTATATATTTAAACACAGTCACCCAAGGGTAGTGTGTCAGAATATTTTTTGGATGTAGTAAGTTTGTATTTATTGAATGCTGCCATTCTATGTATTGTTTTTTAATTACTTAGATTCCTTAGCCATGTGGCAGTCTGTTAAGCCATTAATATTAAAATAGAGCAGTCTAATCTCGGGCTTCATGTAAAAAGTTAACTGCAAGGCTGCTAAATTCTTACTTGAAAATTTGGTGTTATATTTAATTAAAGTACATTCTTGAAAATTATGCTCTTGACTTTTTAGCTGTCTTATAAAAAAAAATGTTGACAATCATTTTATGGATAGTAGCTGAGCTCAAATTCTATTTTATCTTTCCTTATGAGTATTATGTCTTCTTAGCTAAAGACTTAATATAATCCCCAAATAAAATATTCTTTTAATGTATAATATTTCATTGTTTTCTTTGTACTTGATATAGAGTGTAGGTAATGTTTCACCTCTTTTTAAAATGTGTACTCATTTTGAAAACAGGATTTAAAGTATTTTTCCATAGAATTTAAAAATATATGAACAATGAAAGATGGGATTTTTAAAAAGAATATACATATACAATGCTAGCATATATGGTTGACTACATATTTGGTATTGAGCTTCTGAATAGTTAATACAAGATGTTATATGGGTTTTTTGCCAGGAAAGAAGCACCTTCTTTCCTCTACAAGGTAAACTTGACCTTGTCATCACAATTTAAAATAAAAGGTAAAGCATAGGGAATATAGTCAATGGTACTGTAATAGTATTGTATGCTGACAGATGGTAGCTACACTTATGGTGAGTTGAGTCACCATGTTGTACACCTGAAAATAATGTAACATGTATCAACTATACAAAAAAAAAAAAATTTTTTTTCAAATTGGCATTATACCTACAGTTAAAAAATGTAAAAACCTACAGGAACCTGTCAGGTAATGTAATGTAAATAAATGCATCAGGTTTAAGACCCTAGATAGTCCTAGGAACTGTGGACTACTCTCACCTAAAAGGAGTAGTTGCTAATCAGCTGTCAATTCATTTTGTAGTTATGGGTCACTAAAATGAGGAAGTATGTATGCCCATGTGTGCATAAATTTTTCTAATTACAAATGTTGGCAAATACCAGAAAAGATCTTTAAAATATTTGCTGGTTGGGGTCACTAATTTGTGACCTCTGATAGAATATAAAATTATTGAGAACATTTTTCATAACATTACACTCAAAGGGATTTCATATGACTAGTTATTGTGATGATTATTGGATAGTTCTAAGTATGTAACAAAACTCAATGAAAGTGAATCCATGAGGGTTCTGACTATATGATAACTTTTCCCAGATCCTATGGAAGATCAGAAATAAAGCACCCCAATAATGAGATACATATCTCAGCCAGGACCAATATGCCAAGACCAAATTTCATTTATTATTTATCCTAATATGGCTTTTGACTAGCAGATTTGAATTAATTTTAATGCCAGGGAAAAACAACTTACAAGCCGTGAAAAAGAGGAGGCCAGGGAAAAACAACTTAGAAGCCGTGAAAATAGAATCAGAGAAATAAGTGACACCATGAAGCGTTCCAATGTCAGAATTATTGG